CTGGGGTTGATTTTCTTTTTACTACATAAGCTGTTGGTGTTTCTACATTAGCGGGGAGTTTTACTACATAAGCTGCGGAGTGTGTTACATTAATGGTTTTTACTACATTAGCTGTTCTTTTCTACATACCGGTTGTAACAGCGCTACCCATTTTTCTAATTACTGTTTAATGTTTGAGTATTAGATCAACTAAATAATGAAATAAAAAAAATTTTCTTTGAAATAACTTTCAACTTACTATAAATAAATGGTTAAATTTGTAATGAACCATCTACATCAGTTATGAGGTATCTCTATTTTGATAACTTTATAGAAATCAATGATGATGTCTTCAGACAGCTGTTGACTGTTATTTCGGAATGGTATGACCAGATGGGATACATCAATATGCTGAAGGTTTTGTACAGAGATCTTTTGAAAAACAATTACGAGTTGAATAAGGCTACTAAAGTGATGGACCTAATGAATTTGTTGATTGCTTCTGGGGATTTACACTCAACCCATTTAAGTCTTCTATATGATACCATAAACATAACAAAGCAGTATGGATTGGAAAGAAAAATTCAAGATGTACTGCCAGTATATCAAATTGGTAAAGTTGTAGAAATCTCAGAATTCACACATCATCGACGAAAAGTTATGAAGCTTGGAATGGTACCTGTCTCTTATACACATCTAGATGTGTATAAGAGACAGCCCTTGAAAAACACCCATTTCCTGATTGGAGACACTTCACATATGCACCTCACTGAAAAACCAACCGAAGAATTTTAAGGTAATTATTTCATTAATTTAAGTTATTTAGTATTACAGTAGATCCAATGCTTAACATATTAATGATTCAGAAAAAATTGAAAATACTGAATCAAAATATTATTTACCTGAGCAAAATATCATTGAGGAAAGTCAGAGCATTATACAGTTTATTCATAAGGTATGTAGGCCTACTACAGACCAATAAACCAAATAATGATTAAAAGATTTTATATAATTATTATGGATACATGAGGTGAATATTAATATATAAGATAGGATTGTCTTATGAAAAATAAAGACAATCAGATACTAGTAATAATAAGGGTCCTCACCTGCAAAGATATTATACATTTAACTATTACTTGCTAAAAAGACAAATATGGTAAAATAAAGTAACGGGCATTAAATCTATTCTTTCAATTAGCTGCACATTTACACAGAAGAAATAGATACTTAATGTATTACATCACTTTAGATATTTCCTATATTTATTTAACAGATTCCTTAGCCTAATGATTACTACCTTTAAGCCCAGCACTCACAAGACCAGTTTATCAAATTGTCTTTTGTGTGGGTTTGCTAAGCAAATTGCCTCTCATGACAGTTTACACAAAGTGTGTGTATAATTTTTAATAAGAATTCTGCTCTCAAGAGACAATGACCACCACAATTTCTTTGACTTTAGGCAGATGCTCACTCTGCACACATGATAACAGCTCGTTCAAAGTTTACAATTGAATTGACCAATATTTTTAGCTCCACTCTCATAGCCTAAATAAATACAATTTTATCTGTATGGCCATAGGTATAATTTTTAAAACTTTTTAGCTGAAATTTGTGCACAGAAATAAAAAATATAATGTATGGAAACTTTACAGCTGTAGGGCCTATATTCAGACAATGCAGGGTTTAGGGTTCAAAAACAGCTCATATATTAAAAATGCACTCAAAAATTTTTATTATAAGAAAGTTTGATACTTCTTATTATGTCTGCATATATATCATGTTAAAATCATTATTGTATCCTTACTTAACTTGCATCGTCATAAAAGCTTAATGAACTAATAATTAATAATTACTTTACCATAATGATTTATCCATTCCAAATTATTAAATAATTATTTGAATTATTTAAAATTCACAGCATTATATATCAAGATGGCAGTAAGTTGAATTAGTTTTAAAAGGCGTTTAGATTTCAAAATCCAAAATCTCTCAACTTTCTCCATCTATTTAGCATATTTGTCTTGAAGACTGGGTTACGAATATAAGATGACATTCATTTCAAGAGAATTTAAAATTATTGTCATTGTCTCTGAGAGGATATAATTTTTTTTGTTATTTTTGGTTGGTGGGCTATCATATATTTAGACTGCAGGAAATTGTCCTTAACACAATAATTCTAGGCAACTGACATCCACTAGTTTAAGATAAACTTTCAAGACCATTAGTTAATTTTGCAGTTTTAGAGATCATCAGCATTTTGATAATTCTATGTTTCTGTAAGTTTTTTTTTCTCATGATTAATTTAATTTATTTTTTGGTTGGCCCTACCCATTTTTCTAATTACTGTTTAATGATTGTTTATTAGATCAAATAAATAATGAAATGTAGGACATTTTCTTTTAAATACCTTTCAATTTACTGTAAATAATGGGTATTTATGAACCATCGGTTATGAGATCTCTATTTTGTTAATTTCATAGAAATCAATGATGATGCTTTCAGAGAGCTGTTGTCAGATATTTCAAAATGGTATGATCAACGTAAATACACAAATATGCTGAAAGTATTGTACAGAGAACTTTTGAAAAACAATTATGAGTTGAATAAGGCTACAAAGGTGATGGAATTAATGGATATGTTAACTGCTTCTGGACATCTTCAATCAGCTAATCTCAATGTTCTCTATGATACCATAAACATAACAGAGCAAAGAGGGATCAAAGATATACTGCCAGTATTTCAAAATGTTGAAGATGTAGAAATCTCAAAATTCACACATCACAGACGAAAAATTATGAAGCTTGGAATGGTACTGATTGATGAAGATGTAAATAAGATAAGTGCATTATATAACAAACCAGTAAAGGAATATGCAGACACATGGAGTTTGATTATGGATCTGGAGCGCAACAGGGTAATTTGTGAAGGAAAAATGGAAGCCTTCATTAAAAAACTGAATACCCTTCAACTCCAACATGCTGTGGAAGCTTTAACAGAAGGTATTCAAGTTAATTGCTATTTTTATATCAAATTAATATTGTTATCTGGTGTGGCTATATACGTACACTCCATCATGCATCAGCTTACTGCCAGGAGTTATTTAAAGTTATTTATTAATGTTTTGAAATTGACAACATCCATTGCAGTTTCAGTGCAAGGTTGCAGAATTCCATTTTTGGATAGATCTAGGGCAGGGGTTCTCAACTTGCTGCCCGCGAGTGCCTGTTAATGTTATGCGGCCTGCCAGAACAAGCCGAAAATAATATTTTCCATTAGGCTTGTGCCTAGAATTCTAACCAATAATTTTGCATTCTGTTTTGCCAACTTGGCCTATATTTTGCCCCACAAATTGCAGCAATTTAATGCAACAAACAGCAAAGAGATACTGTATTACCGATGACCCACTGTGTGATATAACATTTTGACTTTTTGATAATACCAAACACAGGGTAACTTTCTAGGTCACGTCAAGATGCCCTGTATGAGCATCTAGCAGCTTATTATTTTTTTTAAAATTCTAATTCGGGAAGGGGAGCATCCCCTCCCACGGCTCGTACCTACAGTATGACGCTCGGATGGTGTTATACGCCATTACCTCCTGCCCTTGCCCTTCAAATTTATTCAATGAACAATTCTGGACACTTTGGAATGACATGTCCTCCTTACTTTCTTGAGGATCTGCTTCCCAGGCCCCCAATGGTGACAAACCATTGTCCCTAAACTTTTAATTATGCCTACCTTTAGAATGTGTAATGTATTATATTAAATTAACTTTTATTTACAGAAATCCCAAATGCATCTTCAAACTCTGAACATGGCCATGGTGAAGGTAATTACATGTGTATAGTTGATTTTAATAATTATAACATAATATAGAAAAACTTAAGTTGTTCAAGTTCATGTAGGAAAGAACAAAATAAATTGACAATTTAAAATTAACAAAAAGAAGTGCATAAAAAGAAACAGGTAAAAAATGTCTGCCCCACAGTACATGGAAAATGATACTAAGTTACTCAACTGCTTTATCATTCATTTAACCTTGGAGAACATTTTTATACCTCCATGATTAACATAATATTGTTTACTCAAAACAACTCTCAAAAGTGGATGTCATAATTCCCATTTCTCACAGTACAGATATTGTTGATAGCTGACCTGATTAGCTGATTTTAAAATTATTGATTCAATATATATCATTTTATCTTTTACTTAAGAAATTGCTGTAAAATTAATTTGCAAGAGCAAAAGAGAATCATCTGATTCTGAAGGTCGACCGGCCATGTCAAAAGACGTAAGGTCTTAGTTTGTTAATTGAACTTGATGAATATAAAGACACTCTGAATGTGAAGGATATGCCAGAATTTTTGACATATATGAGAAACTTTTCAACTATTATGAACATTATTGAAAAAAATAAAAAACAAAAATAAACGAGAGCATCAATGATGCAATAGCCCACTTGACAATAGCTGGCAATGTTTAGGTGCTGTCGGTGGGTGTAGGTTGTGTGGAGTGTTGTTATGTGTATTGAGCATAAAGAAAAACATTTAAAGTTGTATGCATCATCATAGACCTTTTTTGTTATGTTCACTTAACAGTTAGGAAAGGTGTGATGTCGTGTACAGTGATATTAACCAGGAAATATGGTTGTTGTAAGGTTTGTTGTGTACGTAACTTTTTGAAATATTTTGTACTGTAATTATGAAGATATTTATGTAGGGGTTTATGATATAAGTAGACAGTTTGGTGAGTGAATGGAATTTGTTGCATAGAAGTATTTTATTGTGAAGAAATATATTTTCCCAAAGGCGCATTATAACCAGAACCCTGCGGGTGTGTACGTTCCTTTGTACGTAAACATAGTTTAGAGGGATTTGTAGTCCAGTAATGGTTTCTAATGTTTTTACGTACACCTACACCCCCATACAGGTCCTTCCATCAAATGCTGTATATTTACATACCTGCCAACATTCGAATATCAAAAATAGGGACGCTATTCATTGATGACAAACAATTGTCCTAATTACTGTACAGTTGCTTCAAACAAAACAAGAGTTACTTAATTTCAAGTGTACTGTTTATTTACCTCACAACTAACACAAATATTTAAGTTACATTTTAATCAGTAGGCCTACAGTTCACCATGAAGGGCATGGTATGTTGCTTGGGCTGATCTCATTGGAGTCATAACGTCAATATTTATTCGAATTTTCATTTAATCGATTTTGGAGTCTACTAATATGTAGAAAATGCATATATTTTTTTTTTCTCCCCGACGAATTGTGCTTTTTCTCCCCGATGGTGGGGGGGGGGGGGAAGACCCTGCCCCCCCCGCTGGGGCCACCCCTGTTCGAATGACACTTGCCTTGGGCCTAATAATCTCTGTTCAACATTTCCAGCTTGTGTGTCATTAAAGCACTTTAAGTTTCTGTTGTCATGCTTGCTCGAAGCTTGGTCTTGTTTTTTCAACAATAGAGAAAACTCTCACAGTCACTACTGCTATAAAATATTACCATCATAGTTCCCCGGGTAGAACCCCACGCCGACTTTACGCCCAACTTTGCGTACAAGAATTTCCCCGGGTGTAAAGTCCCAGGGTCTGAGGATTGGGTAAGTCGGCCTAGGTCGGTAAATTTAACAAATGCTCAAAAAATAAAGGAATTGTCGCCCAATTGGCGCTAATGCATAAGTTCACCTCAACTCAAAATCAAACTTCCAAGCTGTAATTTTCTTAAATATTCATGTATTATGCAAAAACATGCCTTTACCTACACGATTAACACTATTATATGACAAATCCATTCTGCCGACTTGAAACTCTTAAAATTGCTTACAACAGACATTGGTCGCCAGAAATTTGAATACAAAGCCAAAGAGTGTTTTATCGCCTACAGCTTACATTTTATATCTAACCGAAAAAACAAACATTTCTTGCACAATTGCATGTCCACCAGCAACTATCGAGCACAATGTATACCTGCCGCGAAGCACCGTTTCGAAGCCTATTTGTTTACAAATATGCTGACTTCTTTTGGTTGCACATCTCATACACACATTTTACATGTGAACCATTACATTAGGTCCAATTGACCTAAGGTCACAAAGGAACTAATTACGTATATCATTTGTCTTTGCTTGTTAGTTAAACATGCAGCTTTGTTTGAGAAAGGCTAAATAACTTCTTGCTGACGTCAGATATTGATGTATGTATATGTTTATATGTATATATACTCCTAACTAACTCATAGGGTGAAAAATCCTTTGTCTACATTTTGCCTTAACGTCGTTAAAATTTCCCCTTAGCGGCATTA